GAGCCTTCCATGGAAAGCAGTAGTATTGAGGTATTTCGAAGAGGAAATGAGGACTACGCCAAGAATACATGCTCTCGTGGCAGTACCTTACGTAAGGACGGAATTACAACTCAGGCTCGCCTGGTGCATGATGGGACTGACTCGCGAAGAATATGATTCAGAAGAAAGGAAGAGATCAAAAGAGGAAAAAGTTTTCCTTATGACGAATCTGAGGGATCTGATAGTCCAGGAGGGAGCAGCAGTAGCGTGTGCAAAGCGGAGAGACGCTCTCTGTTTCATTCGATTCCTGATAGAGCAGATTTCAGTACCTGCATTAAGCACTTGTGTTAAAATGTTGAAGGAAGGCGATGAGCGAACGAAAGCCATGTTCTTGCTAGCAATGCTGGATATGCAGCAAAGTAAACCGATGAGGGTGAACATGAAAGAACCTGAAGAATTGGAACCCATGAAAAAGATAGACGAGATCAGGAGATTCTCAAACAAGGAGTTGAGGCTCACTAAAGAATCTATGGGAGCATTGCCGAAATCCAGTGAATACTGTGGACCGATCAAGAAGAAGTCATATAGCTATGTATCCGGGATTATAGGGATGGCATACAATCCTTTCCTGAGTGAAGACATACGTGATTGCTTCTTTGATTATGAGCAGGCGGTGTTACTAAGATTCTGGACGTCCAGAATTGTGACGACTAAGAGCGTTAACAATCCACAGGCCAAATTGGGATTGGTCTTGGAAGAAGAGGTGACTGCACCTTCAGTACCAAAATCCGACAAGAGAGTGGAATTTGGGTTGGGATTCTCAGATGAATTACTGAGAACGAGCTTGATGGCAGTGTGGGAATTGATGAAGCCATCGTGGTGTCCTAGTCCCAACGCTGACTCAATATTACGGGCGACACAGGACATACAGAGGGAACTGAATGTGGACTGTAACCTGCGTGACCTCAACATCATATATAATGTGATGACAACAGCCTCTAAGAGCAACGGAGAAGATAGAGTGGAGTTGCCTGGCTGGGGACCAGAAGACTGGGTCAAACCTGGTAGCTGTCTGGCGGAAGTCTGTGGACTAGAGGGTCACGTTTGTGGAAGTCTAGACTGTGTGAAAACCCTGGAGAAACAACACAAGCAGTTGACGGTATTGTTTGGAAATGTAGTGATGAAAGCAAGAACGGAAACGGAACTGATAGCAGATTGCCATGGAGGAACCGATGTGAATCTAGTGACAGCACTAGGATTCTACAGCATGTTTGGTTCTTTAGAGTCACTATTGAATCTAGAACAGAAACATGAGATGGTCACAGCCATCAGCGTAGAAGTATTCCCAGGAGTTCTGCAGACTGAGCAGAAGTATATAGGAAAATGGAGGGAAGCAATCGAAACGGAGATGAACATCAGACACAGCGAAACTTATTGTAGACCATCAGGAGCACGATATTTGGTGGGTTCAATGTTGGCTCCAATGTGCAAGAGCAAGTATCCTGTAGATTTCGTAGCTGTGGATGTGAAGAGTACAAGAACGATTGTGGATCAAGCCTTTTCAGTGCCGAAGTGCGTGAGATTGGCAAGAATGTCTGAAAAGTCTTACGAGTTACTGTGTAAGATTTTCTCAGCAGTTCCAGAAAGAACCAAAGAGGAGTTGGAGTCAATACTAGGAAAGAAGTTCATGGGATATGTGAGCGGGAACTTCAGTGACTTTGAAAAACAGAAACAGAGAGGATCAACTGTCACAGATTACAATGCAGTAGATGAGAATGATGAGATCCACCGAGTGATGATGGAAGTGGAGCCATTGCTGGAAGCTTCGGGAAAACGGAATTGGAGGAGCATCATGTTGACACATGACGAGTTTCCTTGCCACTGCTTGCTGCAGACCTGGTGGTATCCCAAGCGTAGTAATCTGGTGTTGATCTGGGACTCTGGAGAGCTGCTCTCCATGGGTTTACCAGATTCATCACAGCCCATAACAATAGTGATAGTGGGAGTTATGATGGCGATACGATGGCTGGAAGCTCATGTGAGAGAAAATAATAGACAGGAGGCACCGACGAGAGAACAATTGCAGAAATTAGATTGTCTAAAAGATTTAGATCTTTTTGAGACAATGTGCAAAGTTCTGAACATTCCGATGGAAGTGAAGAAGATATGGGCAAGAAAACGATTGATGCCATGGTTCAGAGCTAACATGACTGCATGGTTGTACGAGTATGCGAAAAAGCATATGTCGAAACATGGCAGAGTGTACAGTGAATATCAGCTGGACATTGGGGCAGGAGCTTTCAAGCGAGCTTTCGTGACCCATCGGAATGCAGTGACCACCGCTGTGAAAAGAATTTCCAGGACGAGCGAGCGTAGTGGAAGTGAGAGGGCAGAGATGCTGAAAGAAGATTTGGAAAGAAACGTGGCGTTGTGTCTCCACAACAGCTTCTGTAGAAACAGAGAATCAAACGTGGATCCCCTACCTTGCTGTAAACAGAGGGTGGAAGAGCAGAAGTGTTGGAGGACGGCTTCCAACAGCGTCAGGATAGTCAATGACGTGCTACAAGACACGGAGACCGAGAGTGCAGAGTCAGCGTCACAGGAGGAGGAAATGGAGCATTGATGAATGGTCGAGAAAACAAGAGGCAACAAGAAAGAAAATTAGAAGAATTTAGAAGTTTTAGAACTTCTAAACGACGAAAAAAGAAGAGAACAAAGGGATAATGAAGAAAAGTTAAAACTCAAAATTGTTTTATGTGTGTGAAAAACTCAAGTGAGAAACCAAGCAACCAAGTTGTAATTGAAAACTGAAACATTTAAGTTGAGTTTGGAAATTGTTGCATTTATAAATTTGCATTTTGGTTTTAGTTGAAGTGGCTTTAGAGACACTCACTTATTATTTATTTAGAAAGGCTTGAGGGAAGAGTATATTTAAATATTCCAGCCTGCATGATTGTTTTTAATCACTTAGGAAGACTGATCACTTTGTGGTGACATGAAAAACTGGAGTAACTTCTTGAGGAGGGAGGTTGTTGCATTGTTCTTTCTAACCACAAAGTTTCTTAGTTTTAATATTCAGGACAATAAACAAGCAAGATTTCCGAAGGGAAGGAGCATAGTAGGATAATTTTAGCTTGTTGGTTGGCAGGACTGTCCTGCAAGCCAACACCTTTTAAATCTAGGAGAAAAAGTTTCAATCGGGATATTGACACTGGAAGTCAGAAAATATGTTTTATCTTAAGTCATATCCTCAATGTGCAGATTAATGAAAGAATTTGAAGGCTATAGTGATGTAGTATGATGCCATTTATATTCTGCAGTGAGTCGATGTGACGTAGGTAAAAGTAATTTCGTGCATTTTGTAAATTCTGTTCGATGACACTGTAACCAGTTAGAACATTGCGCGATTCAATGAGGACATTGACCGGACTGTCCGGGGAGTATGTGACATTCGACCAGAATGGCCAAAATGCAGTCTCTGCAGAATTCGGTATTTTAGCAGCAAGCCTTCCGAATTGGCGATTTAGAACGGATAAGGACGTTATTTGAACGATTAGCCAAACGGTGAAGGCTAGAAGATTCTGGAATTCTAATTTTTAAAAATTCGAATTATGACGTCATATTTCTGAGAAACGTCAGAGACGGCCATTTTAGCTAAAATAGCAGAAAGAAACAGAACAATTTTTATCTGCGATTACGAACAGTACGAAATCGAGACTAAAAAACAACAACGAACTACCGAACAGCAGAGGACGTTCCGAGTTGCAACTATTGTGCTGTTACAATAGTTGCAAGGCCGTTGCGAGCAACGGTGAAGGGTAAAACCCAGCCTTCCGAGTTATTGTGAACTGGATATTAAGAAGCTTGATTCACCGGATTCAGGAATCCGGAAGGGTCTCGGGACGTGGACTTTTATGAACTTATATTGAATTTTAGCATCCGTCATGTCCTGACTTGAATTTAATTAAGATCTTAATTCGTTTTGACAAGAATGAGGAGCTAGAAGTAGAGGGGGAAGGGTTGATCCATCTTCGATGGAGATGATGATTTTTATCTACTGAACAAAAACAATAGTAATATGATAAGTAGTAGCCCTGTTTTTAGGAGTGACCTCGTGGTCTGGGGATACTGAGACCCAGCCATGAGCTCACTATTTTTGCATGTAATTCAGTTAATTTGAGCGTTCTGGTCGAAGCCGGAGAACAGTAACGTTTTTGTCGACCCGATGTAAGAAAGACCACCGAAAAGTACTGGCTTGGTAGAGACGGTGAAAAACATGCAAAGCTCTGTTTAGACGCTGGCCAGTCGTCTTAAGACTTAGTTTTGTTATCCGTCGATATGTATCTTCCGGGCGAATGTTACAGCACTTCCAACTAAGTCGGACAAACTGTTCGACATTTGACCACTAGAAATGAGGAACATAAGAAAGCAGACTCACTGGTAGGCCTCCACCTTCAGCAATGCCAACTTGAGGGAAATAGCGCAGATCTTAGTTGGGAAATTATAGATAGGTCAAACAACCTAACAAAGTTGCTAACACTAGAGGCAATACATATCAGGAAAGGGAAACCGGGCTTGAACACGCGCGATGAGTTTAGGAGAAGGGAGTTAACACTGAAAATTAACTTAAAATGTTAATTAATTTTAGAGGTTAAAAGTATTTTAATCTTAATAGTAATTTAGAGGTCAACTGTGATTGGCTAATTTTTTATCATGATGGTTTAGAACCAAATTGTATGTGATTTATTGTAAATAACATTTGTAATTTGATGTTTTATCGTCATTTAGAGTAGTTTATTGTAAAAATCCTGACGATGCACATAGTTGCGAAAACGTTTGAAATTTACTTTTTAGCAAAAATTTCTTCCATTACATATAGTTTTCAGATTATCTCGAAAGTGGGTTGGCTCCTTATTAAAATATCGACATGTTTATTCTAAGCCACACGTCGAGGAGCTCGCTTCTGCGTGAATTTTCTATCACAAGCGGTGCAAGTCTCTTCTACGGAAGTTTATTTTCAGACAATAGCATGTCTCTCACTGGTAGTAAGTTACCTGTTGCAAAAGCTAAAAAGAAGTTCTTCGATGAATCTGCTGATCACATTATGCAGACATACGGAGGATTGATCCCCATTACAGCAGCTGATAATTTGGTCAAAGCGTTTGCATGGGCTGGTTCAATTGATAATCCAAGTGGGGCAGTTTTTTTCACGATGGGAAGAAACATGTATATTTGGAGCATCAAAGCTGATCAAAAGCCGTTAAAGAAACTTGTTCTTCCTGCAAGTGAAATTACTGTATTAGGTCGGCATGTTTCGCTCGCAGTTTTCCCCAGATCAGTTTCGCTTTCTTGTGTTACACCCGCAGGATGTCTTAGGTACTGGAAGTCTTTAAGCAACCCAAATGGAAATGCCGATTACCAGATGTCGCTGAAAGGCCAAGAAGTGCATTCTGTCATTCAAATAACGTACGAAAAGTTATTAGTAGCCACCACGTCATGTGTTGTTTATTTCATTGATACGAATAGTTTTGAAAACAGAGAAATAAATTTGAACTCAAAAGGTACTTTATCTAGGTTCTCAGCGGTTGCTTCTTATTTTCTCCCAGCACCCGGAAATTTGGAAAACGCGGAAGAAATTCGACGTGTTGTAGTACCCGCTCAGTCGAAAGAACTCGTGTTTGTTGCTAGTAATGCTAACGTGTATTGTATTAATTTTATGAGTGAAAAAGTTATGTGGAAAAATTGCTTCTTGCAATTGCATGGAAGTGAAATTTTAGAAACTTGTTACGGATCAGGTTCTGCGAAAATAGTTCTAACCAACTATGACATTAAAATTGTAGATGCCAAGTTTTGGTCCGATGAATCGGAAATAGTTCTGTGCATCTCTATGAGAGCTCTGCGAGGCGACTCGCAAAATAGTCACATTATGAAGTTTGCATTTGTCTTGCTACATCAAAACGATTTGTCGAGTGTTAAGGGGGACAACATAGACATCAATATCTTCCCATCCAAGTTGGAACTGCCTCTGTCTGATGTAGAAAATGGAGACGGGAGATTTGAGTTAGAGATACCATCTGCTAAATACTGTGAATGCATTCTGAGGAGTAACAACAAAATCATTCACTTGACATCAATGTTCATGCAAAACCCTGAAGATGTTAAAATTGACATCGTTGACTTGTCCAAAACTAATGATTGCGTGATAGCTGCTGGCATCCATGAGGACAGTTTTCTTCTTTTGACCGGCAAGAAAGGGTTAATCTCTTATACAAGCAAGAATCCTAAACATTTGAGAGAATTTCAATCATTGTCAACCTTACAACAAAGTCTTAAAGACATCTACGAAAATTACGCTTCAGAACCCTGTATACAATTGCTGCAATATTTTCTGCTATTTGCCCAAGCGAAATCGTCACAAAAACGTTTGCTTTCTCTGTGCGACAACTACTTTGCAGAGATATCAGTTAGGCCCGATTTCGACTACTTGGTTTACAACTGTGCGTTGAGTATTTTAGATGGAGCTTACAATGAAATATCAGATTTTGAAGAAGAAATGGATACTACTGATTTGAACATACCAAAGGTACTGGCACAGAAATTAAATTTGATGACGTCGTTTCTTGACTTTGTGGCGACATCGGGGCTCGCCGAGAAGTTGACTGCAATCGAAAAGCGATCTTCTGATAACAAAGAAAACAAAATTGATATGCCGGTTGTCCCAACAATGGTTGCTGTATTTTCGCTCCTCGAATTTGTAGCTTGTGCTGAATCGTTTTACGAATTACACTGTAAGCACAATTCATTCTTTGACACGTTTATAAGAGTTGTCATGGAAAACAGATCCAGTTCTGGAGTTCCGAACGATTACGTAATTAAGTTCTACAAAAATGTTGCAAATTTTGAAGATATTTTTGGAGTAATTTCTCTTGCCCAGAAAATTGGTAATGTTGATCTGAATTATGAGAATGCTTTCGTGATTGTCGAACTGTTTAAAGAAACCTTCACGAAAACTTCGCACTGTCGTGAAGTAATAGGCGGACCCATTGGGGAATCAGAAGGTCACTGCTACTGGAACGTCACTGAAGATTTCTTAGAATACCTGCTTGTTCATCTAAACTGGATTAAGAATGGTCCTGACATTTTACACAACAGCACTACATCAATGGAACTTGTGCAAGCTCATTTTGACTTAGCTGTTGTATGTTTGCAATCACTGTCCTTGTTTTTCAAATCTATCGAAAAAGAAGCGGACACCGTATTGTCGTTGCTAGTTGAAAGCTACGTCAAGAAAATGAGGAGAGCATTTATTAGGTTCTTTTTTGACGTCAAACAACAAATGCACGGTCTTGCATTAGCCGAAAAGTTCCTGGATTTTGAAACTCTCATTGGAACATGTGTAGAAGAGAACAAGTTAGACAAACTGCTTCATTATCAAGACGCATTCAAAGACAAACATTTTGATCTGTATTTGATAAGATGGCTATACGACCACAACTGCATAAAACTTCTGTTGTCTTTGAAATCACCAGCGTTGTTACCCTTCCTGCAAAAAACGCCAGAGCTAAGATGGGTTTTGGAAGCCAAAGAGAAACGTTGGAAAGATGCGACGGCTTCGCTGTACAGTTTATGTACTTCGGACTTAGAGATGACTCTCCATAAAAAGAGGTTGCTGCTAGCTTTTGCGAAAATGTATTGTATACTTTCGAGGAATCAAGATGAAATCCGAAAGGAGATTGGGAAAATGATGTCGATGCTAGAAATTCAGGTGCGTCTAGGCGTATTGATTGAGTTTTTCTTAGACATTCGATGCTGCAGAACTTTGTTGGGTGCACCGAAAAAAAATACAACATACAATGAAACAGACGAATGAATTTATTCAACTACTGATATCCGGCATGAGGAAATGTATTTGAATTTTTTACGAAATTTTTCTTTGTATGCTATTTTGAAGTCTTTTTTTTGTCGAGCATCGCAACTCATATGTTTTTCAGGCGAATCTGCCCGACATGGTCAAAGAGAAATATGACATATTCGATGACAAGACTGCGTCTGTATTAGAGCCACATGAACTCGTCAATTTGCTGCTGGAGAGCGCCCACATGGCACAGACTGAAGAACAACTAGGGTACTGCTGCTCCGCTTTCAAAGTGCTCCAGGAAATAAGTTAGTATAGTTTTTTTTATAAATCGTTTGTCACAAATCAGCCTTTTTAAGTAATTTGCAAGAAAATAGGCTTCAAATGGTTTTGAAAATTAATTTCGCTCTTGATTTGTTCGAAAGAGAAACATTTACGGCAGAGAAACTTGTCTTGATTCGGTGTTTTTAATTTTCTGCATGCAGTAGATTTTTAACTGAATGCTATAAATGTTGTGTTATGAGCTGTATAACCAACCAGTTTTTAATTTTTCCAGCGGATTTCAAAATCCTCGAAGAACTGAAGCTCTCCATCTGGAAAAGTGTCGTTTCTGCGTCTGAATGGGGACAAGTTGACATGAACAAACCAAACTACATGCACGCTGAGCTGCCAAAACTGCTATTCTACGAATGCCTCAAACACTGCGTCGAAAATAACATCGAAGCACACATAGCCAATAAAACTTCACTGCTGAAAATTGTAGATGAGTTGATGGGAGATGATGGTAGAGATGAACTTGAGAGTACCTACGGAGGGCAGATGGGTTCATCTGAGGTGAAACTAGTTTTGTGTGCTTCTTTGCAAGCTCTTCATTTGGAAACTGAATAAGCTTAAAACTTTTGATTGATTCGTTTTGATTATTTAATGTTGAGTTTACGTTTTGCTGTTGATCATAGCATTTGAGCCTTTAACGCGTAATAGAATTATGAAATATTCACCATATTTTTGTGAGCATTTGATGAAAATGAATTGGAATTGTTGGCAACCTTGTCCTCAAAAAGCTATATCAGAGTTTTGGCAGTAATCTTCCAATTCTTTTATCAACCTACAGATGGCTCTGTTCTGCTTTTTTGGAGCTCTATTTCCATGTTACGTTGAAGTTGAAACAAGCTCAAAGCTGTTATCATACTAGAAGTTTAATGTGTTCCATGCTAGATGTACAAAACATTACAAAAAACCGAATAGATTTGATAACTCTTGCTAAAAGCATGGGCGTTATAGGCAGCAAAAATTATTCGAACCGCTTCCGTTCCAGCAAGTTTTGCCCAGTTTGAGACTTGATCTTACAATTGTGGTGTCAAATTTCAAATTAGATTAAATATACTAATGCTGTGTTAAGTGGGTTCTGAGTTATTTCCAGGTCTTGTTCAGAATGGACTGGCGAATCGCCAACCGAGTAGAGTGGCATATGTTAGGTTGGAATAGACTTAATCTTCCTGCTACTTGACCTAATATTATTCTGACCTAACCTAGAAAGTCACGGAATGTTTTCAACTTGGAGTGGTTAATTAATCAGACAAATTTCGACTTAAATTAAGCGTTTTCGACCATTTTCAAGCCATCTGAAAGATATCGTTGCCCTGAACTCAAATATTTTTGTTTTGATTATTATTTGTTAAACTGTGACTTTTGGAAAATGGCTATTTTGAATTTATCAACGTGCGATATGTTGCATTCTTAAGACACGCGTAAGCGTAGAATTGAATCATTAAATTGATTGGAGGCCAGCAATTTGGGTGGAATCCCTCATGCGCGAAGGATCGAATGCGCGTAAATAAAAATCAGCCAAACAGATTTTAGTAATCTAAAATTTGGAAAGAAAATAAACCTTTCCAGGGATTGAATCCTGACATTGGCCGAGTGTAAAAACTTTATTTAGTTCATTTTAATTGAATGGCAATTGCTTCTTTTTAAAAATTGATTTTCGGTTAATTTTGTTTTCGCTCACGAGTTTGTCTCTCGCTCACGAGTTTGTCTTTCGCTCACGAGTTTGTCTTTCGCTCACGAGTTTTTTCGCCCATTCGGTCCTTCGCGCATGAGAATAGCCCCCAGCAATTTGTTTGATTAATACGATAAAAGACGCTAAAAGTATCCATTCATATTGTATATTGTGAATTGCTACTTGGAGTAGAAGAAAGTCAGATAAAAATCGGAACAGGCGTTGAGATAATCACTCTGTAGGCTGTTTTTGTGAAGACCAACGAAAGTTTTTTTTTTATTTTTTTTTTCATTTTACCCACGCGAAATCAGGTACTAAATTTTAGGCTAATTTCGAGCAAAACAGAGCGAGTTATTTATTTGTCTTAGAAACATCTTGGAGTTTTTTCAGGTATTTTCTTGGAAATACATGTTTTATCAATTTGGAAATATTTTTTCTTAGCGCTTTCTTGGAAATAATTTTGTTCTATTCAAGTTTCGGAGAAAATTGTTGTCGATAATGATTAATTTGCTAATACACAAAATTAAAAATTAGGCCTTTGCTTAGATAATACTTTAAACAATTTAAGCCTTTGCTTAGCTCTGTTGTCAAACAAAAAAAAACGAGCCAATTTGAAAAAAAACTTTGTTTTTTAATTTTTGTAGTAGAAAGTTTGTGCTTATTGTAAATCAACCGGCTAACCGTGCTCTTGTTCTTTTGGAGAAAATTAATTGCCATCATTTGCATTCTTTTATCTAACTATCGACCTCATTGAGCATCAGATTTTGGGCTATATTTAACGAGCATGATTTTTTGTCGAATCTTCTTTGCAGCGCCATTAGTTAAAATATGTTCCGATTAAGTGATATTGGAAAAAAAGTTTCCTATCTAATCAGAACGAAAAAGAGGCATCCACTTTTCAATTGCTTGTTTTAAAAAATCGTTTCAAAGACAAGTCTGAAATGCGCTTTTTGTTAATATTCAGTTTTGCTTTGCCCTTCAAAATTAAAATTAATTTTATGCATAACTTGTGGAATGAAACTTAAATAATGGTTCGGTTCGTTCGGACCCATTCAAATTAGCTACACGAGCGCAACGTAGTATGACGTAACAATGCAACTTTTTTTCCAACCTAAGCCGCAATCAGAACAGTATAGTTTTGCTCTTACCCACATGTTCTTTCACGACAAGGCATGAATAAATAATGAAATATTAGAACGCATGAATGAAAAAAGAAATCATTTGCACAGTTTCGCGCACTTTTCCGAGCTCTTTCTCAATTTTCCCGGCTCTTTCACAGTTTTCTGGCATCTTTCCCTCAGAAAGAGCAAAAACATACTCTTCAACAGTTTGAACATAGTTGAAGATGGTCTCGGAAAAAAGAGCCGCACTCGGGCACTTCGTGACCTCAAGCCGGGCTCTTTTTCCCTCAGGCATCTTTGAACTATGTTCTAACTACTACATAGTGCTACTTTGGTTGGCATTTTTGAGTCAGATGATTGCATTAACATCATAATGCTAATGGTTTTGATTTTTAATTAGTAACTGGTTGACACAGTTGATGCTTTTTAACTCATCAATTGAACCGAAAAGAGATTGTTTCATACAACACTATAATAAGGAAATACATATTTCAGAAGTTTAGCGGTGTCATAATTCGAAATTCGATGAAAGTTGGCATGATGAACAAACGGGCAACTGTGTACAGATTTCTTCTTCATACTCTTCATCGTAACAACTCACACATTTAGCCGTAAAAACACGTAAAACAAACAAAAAATCAATATTTTATATTTGAGCGGTGGGGAAAACTGGAAAGGACCCGTCAATTAAATAGACTCTGCGCAGATGCAAGGACATGATATTCGTAGTACCCAAAACGGAGATTCATTTTGGGCCTTTAGCAAAAGTTTATTTTAAAGGCTTATTCTAATCTAGTGTTCCTAATTTATTTTTTCTACTTATTGTAGAGCGACTGCATGAGTTTTTTGTTAGCAAAATGCAGTCTCTGTGTTGCTGGTGTTTTTAGATACTCCAGCAAAACTTAATTCAACCGGCAAGCTATAAGTAAGACGCCTTAAATAAAAAAAATTGGCCAAGCGATGATTTAGACGCAACTGGAAAAATGAGTCAACTGGACATAGTGAAAAAACTTGAACTAAACAACTTAAAAACAGTTTGTGAATAATATGCAGAAGCGCTTAAATACAAATCATCTAATCAGAACGAAAAAGAGGCATCCGCTTTTTAATTGCTTGTTTTAAAAAAAATTGTTTCAAAGATAAGTCTGAAATGCGCTTTTTGTTGATATTCAGTTTTGCTTTGCCCTTCAAAAATAAAATTAATTTTGTGCATAACTTGTGAAATGAAACTTAAATAATGGTTTGGTTCGTTCGGACCCATTCAAATTAGCTACACGAGCGCAACATAGTATGATGTAACAATGCAACTTTTTTTCCAACCGAAGCCGCAATCAGAAGAGTATGTTTTTGCTCATCCCCACATGTTCTTTCACGACAAGGCATGAATAAAAAATGAATTATTAGAACGCATGAATGAAAAAAGAAATCATTTGCACAGTTTCGTGCACTTTTCCGGGCTTTTTCTCATTTTCCCCGGCTCTTCTACAGTTTTCTGGCATCTTTCCCTCAGAAAGAGCAAAAACATACTCTTCAACAGTTTGAACATAGTTGAAGATGGTCTCGGGCAAAGTAGCCGCACTCGGGCACTTCGTGACCTCAGGCCGGGCTCTTTTTCCCTCGGGCATCTTTCAACTATGTTCTAACTACTACATAGTGCTACTTTGGTTGGCATTTTTGAGGCAGATGGCTGCATTAACATTATAATGCTAATGGTTTTGATTTTTAATTAGTAACTGGTTGACACAGTTGATGCTCTTTAACTCATCAATTGAACCGAAAAGAGATAAATGTTTCATACAAAACTATAATAAGGAAAATTACATTTCAGAAGTTTAGCGGTGTCATAATTCGTTGAAAGTTGACATGATGAACAATCGGACAACTGTGTACAGATTTCTTCTTCATACTCTACATCGTAACAACTCACGCATTTAGCCGTAAAAACACGTAAAACAAACAAAAAATCAATATTTGAGCGGTGGGGAAGACTGGAAAGGACCCGGTAATTAAATAGACTCTGCGCAGATGCAAGGACATGATATTCGTAGTACCCAAAACGGAGGTTCATTTTGGGCCTTAAGCAAAAGTTTTATTTTAAAAGCTTATTCTACTCTAGTGTTCCTAATTTATTTTTTCTACTTATTGTAGAGCGACTGCATGAGTTTTTTGTTAGCAAAATGCAGCCTCTGTGTAGCTGTTGTTTTCAGATACTCCAGCAAAACGTAATTCAACCGGCAAGCTATAAGTAAGACGCCTCAAATAAAAAAAATTGGCCAAGCGATGATTTAGACGCAACTGGAAAAATTAGGCAACTGGACATAGTGAAAAAAACTTGAACTAAACAACTTAAAACTGTTTGTGAATAATATGCAGAAGCGCTTAAATTTAAATCATCTGATCAGAACGAAAAAGAGGCATCCGCTTTTCAATTGCTTGTTTTTAAAAAAATCGTTTCAAAGATAAGTCTGAAATGCGCTTTTTGTTAATATTCAGTTTTGCTTTGCCCTTCAAAATTAAAATTAATTTTATGCATAACTTGTGGAATGAAACTTAATTAATGGTTCGGTTCGTTCGGACCCATTCAATTTAGCCACGCGAGCGCAATGTATTATGATGTAACAATGCAAGTGTTTTTCCAACCTAAGCCGCAATCAGAAGAGTATGTTTTTGCCCACATGTTCTTTCACGACAAGGCATGAATAAAAAATGAATTATTAGAACGCATGAATGAAAAAAGAAATCATTTGCACAGTTTCGTGCACTTTTCCGTGCTTTTTCTCATTTTCCTTGGCTCTTTTACAGTTTTCTGGCATCTTTCCCTCAGAAAGAGCAAAAACATACTCTTCAACAGTTTGAACATAGTTGAAGATGGTCTCGGGCAAAAGAGCCGCACTCGGGCACTTCGTGACCTCAGGCCGGGCTCTTTTTCC